CGGGCTGGGGATTCGAACCCGCCACCTTAGGTGTACGTGGCTGGCACCTTAGCCGGTTGAGCTATAGGCGCCGAGCCAGAGAGCTCAGTGTTTTAAGATCTTTATATAAAACAATAAAATATAGGCATACATCATTTTATTACACTTTGTTTTACTGTACTTCACAGATAATTGCATTTTCACAAATTAATGGTTTATGGCAACCCTGTGTCAAGCAAGTCTATCAAAGCCATTTTTCTAAATGGCATGTGCTTACTCTATACCCCATTCCATATTTAGGTAATTCTCCCAATATTTCAAACTTGAAATATGTTGCCCTCAGTAGCGTGCTATGAAATCACAGCTCACAGCAACCTGGGACTACAGGGGCCCACCACAATGCCCGGCTATTTTTTTGTTGTTGTTGTTGTCATTGTTGTTTAGCAGGCCTGGGCCTGGTTCAAACCCACCAGCCCTGGTGTATGTGGCTGGTGTCCTAACCACTGAGTATGGGTGCCAAGCCAGAACTTTTCCATTATTACTACATCTGTTATGGTGATCAGTGATCTTTGATGATACTATTGTAAATGTTTTGGGGTGGTATGAACTACAGTGAGCTTAATTGATAAATGTTATGTGTGTTCTGCTGACTCCACCAACTGGCTATTCATACCCTCCAACATCTCTCTTCCTCTCCTCAGGCATCCTTCTTCCCTAAGATATACAATATTAAAATTAGGCCAATTAATAACTCTCTACTATAAGTGTTCATGTCAAAGGAATAGTTTCATATTTTTCAATTTAAATCAGAAAGCTAGAAATAATTAAGCTTAGTGAGGAAGGCATATCCAAAGCTGAGACAGGCCTAAAGTGAGGCCTCTCAAGCTACTTAGCCAAGTTGTAAAGGAAGTATCTGTAGTGAGAATAAGATCTCATGGCAACCTCAAACTCCTGGGCCCAAGCAATTCTCCTGCCTTAGCCTCCCAAGCAGCCAGGACCACAGGCACCAGCCACAGTGCTGCTGTTCCAGTTGTCATTGTTGTCTAGCTGGCCGGGGCCAGGTTCGAATCCTAAGCTGGGTGCACGTAGCCAGCGCTGTAACCACTGTGTTACAGGAGCCAAGCCAGAACCTTGCAATTTAAGAACATTTTATAACACAGGCATATACCATACAATACCAGAATTGTCTTCCTTTTCCATTTAAAGCCTCCCTGAAAGTATTCATTAACAAAAGAGGAAGGCTCTTCTTCCTTTTCTACATCTTACACTACTGCACTCCTACCGCCCTATCTTTTGTTTTGTCTATTCTATCCTATTGTCTATTTGGTTTATTCTCTCTAATGCCTATTCTCTTGACTTTCTCCTTTGCTTTTTATGTGCTAGTAATTTATGCTCAAGGAAACAGCAAAAAGTAATGAGCTGTGTTTCTTGCTTCCCCACACACAGTATGGGTCACATTTCTGTGACTCTGCTTTTTATCCATTCTTCTAAAATGCCCTTTCATTCTCCTGGCTAATGCTTACTGTTCTTTGAGATCCTTCCTTAGGGCCTGTCCTCTCCATAAAGCTTTTCTAGAGTAAGTGATCCTACTTTTTCTTTTCTTTCTTTCTTTCTTTTTTTTTTTTTTGAGACAGAGCCTCAAGCTGTCCCCACCCACCCCCCGACCCCCGGGTAGAGTGCTGTGCCATCATAGCTCACAGCAATCTCCAACTCCTGAGCTCAAGCGATTCTCCTGCCTCCGCCTCCCAAGTAGCTGGGACCATAGAAGCCCACCATAACACCTGGCTATTTTTTTGGTTGTAGCTGTCATTGTTGTTTGGTGGGTTGGGCTGGATTTGAACCTCCCAGGTATATGTGGCATTCGCCTTAGCTGCTTGAGCCACAGGCGCCAAGCCATGATCCTACTTTTTCATTTATCATTTACACTTTGTATTAATCTGTTTACTATATCTTTTTCCAGAACCAGAGTAAGATCTTAGAACTGTTTCTTAATATCTCTAGTACCAAGCTTTAAAATTGTCCACCTGACTTTCGGCTATTAACCTTCTTCATGATTCTAGTTTTCCTCTTCGTAAGCCACAACTTTGCTATATAGCATGAAATATAAACACAATTGTACCAAATCATAAAATACTGTTATATTTATATCTGAGGTACACAGAGTAGTTTCATATAAAGTATCTTGTTTAATACTTATTTTAATTAAACCTGTACCATGACCAGGATACTATGCTAAGTATTTTGAGTTAAACAATTAAAAAAATAAGACACTTTCTGTCTTAAGAAATGAAAAACTTAAATAAGTAGGAAAATTCCGGATTCCTTTCTAAATAAATTGTGGTGACGCGAATTGCCATATTTTTAAAGAAAGTTTAGTTAAATTGTCTTTACTTAAGGGTTTACTGCCCTCTGGTGGATCAAATGTGTCTAAGAAAACTACACGTCTATAACTGTATCTAAGGAGTCAAACGGTTAAAGAACAGTGAACCCCAGCAAATGGCAGAAAGATTTCCCATTTATTGTCTAGTGGACAATAACACAAAAAAACTCTTTCAGTCACTTAGTTACCCCCATTGTTGTTTCCAGAGTATTTTTCTTCATGGTACTTGTCACCGAGTTTATCTCTATCTTTTTCTACTGTCTGACTCATAGTATGGTGAATGCATCCAACTCCAAAGTTTGATTCAGTAAGTATTGACAGGAGCCTAAGAATCTGCATGTCTCATAAGTTCCCATGTAATGGCCACATAAGTTGTCCACACTTGAAAACCACTGGCCTAGCCACTGAGACTGTATGATGGTGAACAACACTTGTAATTAACATGGTTATAGTTAAATTCCAGACCTAGAGAACATTTCAGCCTCTTTTAGATTGTTTTGCAATTCTTCACCTTAATCCATTATTTGGTGCTCTTTCAGCTTAATTCCTTCATAATCAAGTTCTTAGAAGGCACCTTAATAAATCTTAGGAAAAACCATGCCCATACCTGCACACATACCAACACACTATTATTCCCCTTTGAGTTAGATTTTAAAAATCTATAATAATTGGGTTAGATTAGAAAATCTAGAATAATTCTTATTAAATGTAAGATCTGAGAGAAGAAATTCAATGGTTTCATGTGAACTGGCATATGGGGATGAGGATGAAGAGAAGACAAAGACATGTAAGATGTGGATCCTATCTCACTCTGTTCGTTTGCCTGCTTTACAGTTACAGTGCTTTTACATCATTATCTGATCCACTCAGAGAAATTAAATAACTTGTTAAAAGTCGAGGTCAAGAAACAAGTGGAGGTCTGGAATTTACTAAAGACTCTATTTGTATTTGTTTTAAGACTCTGCCCAAAGGACGAAATCACCCCTTTCAAAAACTAGTCCCTAGTTCTAATGACCTAAGAACGAGGTATACTTAATTTTCCTTCCCTTTCTTAATTCCTCCCCAAACTGTTACCTCGCAAGAAAAAATGTTTGTCACATCATTGCTCTCAGA